CCCCAAAACCCCAAAACCCCAAAACCCCATGAGAGTAAAAAAAGTAATCTTTATCAAACTTTGTATAGAAGTTATGAAATTAAATTTATTCTCAGTGAAAATTTATCAGTATTGATGAGATATCTTATTTTTTTGGCTGAACTTCAACTTGAGTTATTAATTCTCATTTTTCTAGATACTTAACATCTATTTTTTATAGCTTTCTTCTTCTTCTTTGATTATTTGGTCTTCAAATTGGTTCAGATCAAAGCTTGTGTTCACTTGGTCTAGCTAAGATGTATTTGATCTAATATTTTCAACAAATGTATTATGGTCAAATTCCTCTTTTTTGTTTTTATCATCTTTATCGTCTGGCTCAAATTCATATTTTACATTATAGTAGCTGCTTTCTCTTTCCATTAAGGAGGTACCTATGAAATTGGGAGAAGGGTCTCTTTTCAAAGAGAAATTTCTGCTTTTTAGGAATTTTTAATCATCTTATGTCATATTAGGTGTATCATACTAGGACTGATTCTGAGTACTAAAAATTTCTGTAGTTCTAGTTTGCTACTTCTAGAGAAAAGCGTTTGCCAGCATTATTTATAATGAACTTTCAGGCTTCTTTATTAATTTATTAGAATGCTCCCAAGTATTTTTCTCTATTATTTAAGTAGAGGGTGCTTTCTCAATATCATTCAGATTCTTGCTGCTCCCCATTTTGCCAAATATCTTCTTAATATTTTCAATAGCTTTTTGCTCCTTTGTTTGATCTCTAAGTTTTCTTTAGAATATACCTCTTAATATTCGCTTATCAATTTCTTTGAATTCTTCTAACGAGGCATACTGCTCAACAGCAGTTTTGATTTTGTTTTTTATTGTAGACTTGATGATTATATTTTTACTCTCTAGAAGTCTAAGATTATCTTGATCATTTTAATCACTATCAGAAGATGATGAATCTGATCCGATAACGTTCTTTCTTTAGAATCTCAAAATTAACTTTTGATTTTGGTTTAGAAATACTTAAGTAATCAATTTCATCATTCTTAACGATTTTAGCAAAGTTATACAATCTAGTTCATTCATTAATTTGTTGGTGCCTTTGCTGAATATTACATGCTTTTTCATCTTTGGGTCCATTATCATTTTCTTAGGCGATCTTAAGCATCCACATCTTAAGATATAATTCCCTATATCTCTACAAGTATAATTAAATCTCTATCTAGAGAATACTTCAGCTATTAAATTCTCTTTATCTTAAGTCTCAATCTTTGAGGTTTCCTAGTTGAATTTTTAAGCTTTATTATCATATTCTTTTTTCTACTATAACTTTTGTTGCCTAAATGCCTTCTTTTAATCTTTATAGCTAATGGATTTACCTTACTTTGATATAGATTTTTGGAATATCTATAATGAATCAGGAATTATGAGGTTTCTATTTGATTCCTGGAATTATTATTTGCATTAACTTTAGCAGTTATTATTTTGATCTCCTTATGGTGAAGATTACTAATATATATGTCTCAAAATTGCTGAATTGAATAACCTATCTTGAAAAAAGCCTACCATAAAGAGTCCAAGCATTATGATAGATTCTTTGAAACCTCCAATATCCCCCAATAAATCACTAATTCCGTAAATTCTATAAAAATAGAATTCGTTTTTGAATATTGTAAAAATGTAATTTTGCTTACGCTCTCTCATAGATGTCATATGCTTTATCTACTCTGATATAAATTGCAGCTAATGTATCATCAGTTGCAGCTAAATCATCAAAGAACTCTCTAAAATTTGAAACCTATTATTGTAGATATATTAAAAACCAAAGAAATTACTGAAGTAAATTCATATTCATCAGAATCAAAAGTAAGTATCTTATCCTTTAGTTCAGCATGGTTCGTCTGCACATACAAATTTGCGCTCTTTCAATATTATGGATCAAGGAGGAAATACAGAGCGTCATCAATGAATGTTTAAATTGGCTAAGAGTAGTTGTTAAAGTCAAAGAAAGAGTTTATGAATGCAAAGTTCAACTGATTGTTTCTGAAAAAGGTATCAATACTGGATTTCTCAGAGCAGTTATTGTTTTCATTTTCATATTTGCATCTCTTGGTTTTAATCTCAACATATTTAAAGTCTTTTGAGTAATAGTTACCCTATATTTAATAATCCTTGCCCTTAATGCACTTAAAGTTGTTGATGTTATACAGGGAAACCTTTGATTGATCCTTGAATCTAAAGTTTTCAATTCCGCAATCAATGATTTGCAATGGTAACTTAATTCTGTTTGATTCTAACAATTAACTTTGAAAATCAGTTTAAGATTACTTTGGGTAGATTCATTATAGCTCACAATTACTTAATTAGCTTCCAATTATGCGATAGATTAGTTATATTCCCCTGTCAACTAAAATGCGAAATCAAATCCCATCTAGCCTATGTTGTATGACTAGGAAGCACCTGAGTCTAGATCTTTGTAAAACGATTTCTTCGCTACCTTTGTGTCTCCTTTTGTAATCAAAGTAGCGAGCCTATAGAAGAAGAATGCGAAGACTACACCATAAACTATTGCACTTGCAGCAGCACCTATTAAACTTTTGTAGGTTCTAATTTATGTTAGGGTTATAAGGAATTATTTTACTCTTGCCCTTTGTAAGTCAACGACACCTACTTTCCATACATATCAAGTTGCTTAAATGATTTCCCTGCTTTTCTGCAAAATGGTTTGGCTTTTTTGAATTGCTTAACTATTAATGTAAACAAGTAACTTTAGATCACCTTGGAATTTTATAGAGTTTTTCCGATTTTGTGATTGAGCATTTTTGTTTTATGAATTTTTATCTGGAATTTACTTCTCTTAGATCATCTAAATATAATATCACAAGTATATAACTTAAGGCATCTCTTATTATTAAATTATTTGAACTTAAATTATTCAAATCTGCCATCAAGGGGTTTTGGGGTTTTGGGGTTTTGGGG